CCCCAAAACCCCAAAACCCCAAAACCCCAAAACCCCGTTTAAGAACAGTCTTATTGAAGATTGTAATTAATTATTAAAAACAATGAGCACTAACATGAGCAAACTAATAAAAGACCTCAAGAGTCTCTCTTCTAAATCACCAGGAATGATGCCCAATGTGATATCAGCTCTTACTTCTGGAAGAAATGAAATAGCTACTTTACTTAACCTTGAGAAATCAAATGAAGCAAAACTGACTGAAATCTCAGAGTTAATCAGAACAAGCCAAAAGAAGAATCAACTAAAAGGTATTTAAGTATTGCTTATCTCTATACATCCAAAAGATGAAGTAAATAATCTTTGCCCAATTAATACTAGATACACTTCATGACATGAAGGACTATAACTAAAAATATCACTAACCAATACAATAATGAAGTTTAAAGCCTGCTCAAATGACTACTACTTAGACTATTTCCTTAAAATTGGTGTATCTCGTTGAAGAATTTTCCTTCTATCAAAGTTATACTATATTCACTAGGTAGTGCTCACTTATTTCTCACAAGAATAAACAATTTGAATATCTAATTGCACGAAATGACCAAATCTATATAAACAAGCTTACGATCATGTAAAAATGTATAGAAGCGAATCTTCTCGCATCCAATGAAACCCTAAAGAAGGAGAATTCAGAGTTGAAAGCAGAGCTGAAAAGCCTTACTCAAAAGTACTACTCGCTAAGTCTTAGGAGAGTTAGTCTCTTAAGTGAAAACTGAAAGCTGCATTCAGAAATAAAGCAAGAGGCTGGTAATTTACTCTAATCTAGTATTCGAACAATTTTTATTACATTAGCACATTTTAGTATCTAAACACCATCTGGCTTTCTTCTGCATGAAAAAGAATTGTTAGTTGAAGTAGAACAGTTCCGTTACAACAAAGATAGGCCTGAAGGATATACCCTCTCTTCTCGCCCTGTCCTAGCTTCACTCAGCAATATTTTCCCAGTTAAGTAATAAGTCAGGAAGAACTCTTAGTTGTGAGATGGCTTAGGAGTGGGGAGTAGGCGTGACTGAAGGAGAAGGGATATATGGGGGTTTATTGAGGGTTTTAAGTGACTTTTGTGTAGGTAGAGGGAGGAAGATGGATGAGAAAGGAGTGAAGGGAAGGAAGGGGTGTTGAGGAAAGGAGAAGGGATTAGAGGATAGGAATGATCGATTGTGGAGGAAAGATGTGGAGATTAATGGAGTGAGAGAGGAGAGTAAGATTGAGGTAAAGGAGAAGTTGGACGGAGGAGAGTCTTTTAAAGTGAAGGTTGAGAAGACTGAAAAAGGAAAGGCCCCACTTCAGCTTCAGTTACAAGAAGAAATGCTAAAAGTTGAAGTCCTCACTGGATCCTGTGCGAGCAAAGAAGAACATATAAATAAGCTCAGTCTAACTATCTCTCAAATTAAAGATACAAACGAGGTTCTTGAGAAGACGGTTCTAAAGCAAGAAAATTATATTGACAATCTTAAGTCTCAGATTGAGCAACTTCAAGAGAAGCAAGTTATCTTGGAGAAGAATTCGGAAGACAAAGATGCCACAATCCAAGAGCTTCAAGAGAAAGATGCTTTCAGAACCAAGCAGATTCAAAATCATCAGCAAGAAAAAGAAAACTGGGTGAATGACACTAATTGCTACAAAACCCAGATTGAAAAGCAGAATGAGCTTTTGCTGAAAGAGGAAGACAAAATCCAAGATCTCACGAATCGGATCCAAGTAAAGGAGGATGCTCTCACGAAGTATGCTGAAGATAAGCTTAAGAGTGATGAGAATGAAAAGAAGTTGCTTGAAGAACTCAGTAGCCAGAAAGATTCTCTTCTCAAGAGCCAGACTGAATATGATGAAATCAAGCAGGAGATCACCGAACTTGGATTCGGATCTGAATACATGGACCATCAAGAGTAAGATTCAGTTTTTAGATGGGAGAATCTTGGATAATTCTTACTGATTTCTATAGGCTCAAGAAGATCATCATAAACTTCAAAGACTTATACAATGAATGAAAACAATTAAAGCTCCAAACAACTCACCCCACCAACTTTCCAATCGAAAAGACAAAGGTCATAAGAGGATTATTTGATGGCTTCCTACTTTTATGGGTCCTTTATCTATTTCTAACATAAAAATTCACCCAATAGTACATCTATCTCAACCAAAATCAGTCAATTTTCAATTTCTCTCCCGCCTACAGGGGTTTTGGGGTTTTGGGGTTTTGGGGTTTTGGGG